CCTCCCTCGCGCCCGCCGGGGAACGGAGAGAGCGCGCGCGAGGTGGGAGCGCAACTGTCAAGCGGCCGGACCTGTGGGGCGCTGAGCATGATGGGAGAGAGAGGGAGAGAGAGAGAGAGAGAGAGAGCGCAGCCCTGACAAGATTGTTGCCAAGGGCAAGCGGAGGTTTCCGTTGTCCTGGCAACGGTCAGGGCCTTTCCTGCCCTCGAAGGAGGGGGAAGCAGCGCGAAGGAGTCGCGCTCCAGGGACGGGGAGGATTCACACGCGCTAGTGCTCTGCCCTCGACCCGAGGTTCTGCTTTCGGGAAATAAAATCAAGAGGCAATAGGATTCCAGACCCAGGAAGGTTCCCACGGGTGTTCGTAACACTTAGGACCCCCGGGAGGCAGACACGTGCAGCGGCTGGGTTCACACGACACGCTGGGTTAATAGGAAGCTGGGCAAATTGTGGTTCAGGGTGTCTCTGCACACCGAATTATCCTGTTGGCAGAGTTCCCACAGTACTAGGTTTCGTTTAGGATCCAAGCAGCCTGAGCCACAAACTCGCTCACCACCTTTTAGCTTGGCATAGATTTGGTTGCTCTTGGGGTTGTTTTTTTTTGCACGCATGCATGCATGCATAACCATTCTGAGCCTTATGGGCGTGTTTCGGTGTGTGCTGCTTTGGTATGTGTTTAAGCTACTTAATTGGATTAATTCAGTAAACTGTGGTTGATAATGTGCTAATGCATGGCGCAAGCAGAGACACAATGACATCCAGTCAGGCGTGCTTGCAATATTTTATTACTGGAAAGGAGTAAGCGTCTCAATGAAAAACAATTAAAAAACAGTCCTCATCGTTGTGCACTGTGTTTCTCAAATTGTGGAGACAGGGTTCATGCAAACCCACACTGCACACAACTGGGGCTACCACATCTGGGCTGCAAAAATCCAGATGACCACAAATGGCGACTAAGAAAGGAAACCGGTGCTCCCCCGGATTTTGAGGTCCGACTCTGGTAGCTTTAACAACAGCCTCTATTTTTGCTAATGGAAAGGAAACAGACGAAGTCATTTCTGATTTTTCAAGATTTTTTAGTGTTTTCAAGATACCTTCAAACATCTCACTTGACTTGTTACCAAACAAGACAAGTTTTAGTGGGATTTCATTTTAACTTTGGAGAAAATCCAAAACTAATAAATTTACAGTTTTAGTCAGTATATTCCACAGACTGTTAATTGTTAGCTTTCACCTCCACACAGAGCTACTAGCAACCCCAAAATATTTTCTGTTCCTTAAAAGGGGTTTTTTTTCTCACTGTGCTGCACTTTATATTTTATCTGATAAAATAATAGTAGTACTTCACATTCTAGATTTCATTTCAAAATTCAGCTCAAACTTGCAAGGTTATTCAAAATACAAACTTAAATGCCTCATCTACTCGAAGATAGCAGAAGGGTGCACCATACGTGGCTGAAGTTTTTGCCTTCGGAAAAATATTGTGGGTGGAAGATGACTTATAGTGGATTCCAATGCAGATCAATGCCAGATATATTGGGACAATGGAAACTCAATTTAATTGAGCGTTTGGGGGCAGGGAGTCCATTAAATCCAAACTTAAGTCATTTGTATCAATTTACATCACTTGAGCAATGAAATGATTGATACAAATGGTGTCCTTTGCACTAAACCTCAAAATAGACAAAACCTCTATTTAACAGACAAACTCTTGATTTAACAGATGTTAGTCCGTTAAATGTTATGAAGCTTGAACAAGAGATTTGTCCATTGTACTATATTAGAAGTCTGCTACACAGATGTTTAGCACCATTTGTTAGCAATTACTGTATGCTCTATTTTCATCTCCAGACTATAAAATCTGGGTGACCACTAGTTGGCAGTAAAGAGAAAAAGGAAACCGCCTCTTTGCTGCCATCTAGTGCCCAAATAATTTTTTTGCATTTTGAATATTGCAAGCTGAACTTATGTATGAGAGGATGGAAGATGAACTATTGTGGTCTCTGAGTGATTGTGGTCCAGTAACTTTTATGAAGTTACTTAATCTTTCTCACAAGGTTGGTAGAAGACACCAAGACTATGGGCAGAACCACCACCTGTGTGTGTGTGTGCGTGCGCAAATAGATTTTAAGCTGTGCAGTAAGCCGAGTTCCATGAATAATGTACAAATAATTCTAAAACATAAAGCTACAAAACAGCAAAGGAGACTAATATAATCTGGTCCCATCCAGACTACACACCAGCAAACACATCTGGGGAGTGCCAGGTGTGGGAAGGCTGTTCTGAATATAAAAGCAATGCATAATAAAGCCAAGGAAGAACCAGTACAAGGGCTAACAACACTGCAGTACATTAATCCAGGAGCAAAATAAAACATTAGTAATCAGAATTGTGCAAACTGTGGTCTTCCCTGTGACACTCTATGGAAGCAAAAGTTGGACTTTGAAGAAGCAGGATAGGAAAAGTATTGAAGATTTTGAACTTTGGTGTTGGAGAAGACTCCTGAGAATACCATGGATAACCAAGAAAACAAACCCATGGATCAATCGAAAAAGTCAACCCAGAGTTCTCACTCAAGGGACAAATGACCAGGCTCAAATTATGCTAC